AAAAAAAAATACAAAAAAAAAAAAAAATAAAAAAAAACACAAAACAAAAAAACAAAAAAAAAAAAAAAAAAAAAAAAAAAAAAAAAAAAAAAAAAAAAAAAAAAAAAAAAACTTTTAAAATAAATTGTGTAAAATGCGGAATAATTATAAATGATAAGTGTGCAGTGTGATATCATGTATCACCGAATACAAGATGACGTATTGATGCATATTTAATATGCACAACAAAAGCATAGTGTAGGCACTTGTGCATACATCAAAAGATTGCGTGACCATTATTACGCATAGCGGAAAAAAACGTTTCAACATAAATTTAGATTGATTCCTGCTTTATTATTATTATTATTATTATTATTTTCTTAATCATCAATTCATCGTGCAATAACGGCAGAAGCAATACATACAGTGCACTACATCGAAGACGTCATTTATTTGTATACAAATCATTATACTCCGCATCTATATTAGAAGGCACATGATCTGATAATGACAGCTATTACTATTACTCATCCGACAAACATTTATGACCGTCTACGTATATATTGATCAACATTTATAAATTTGGGATCCTCAATTCATTTTTCACAAGAATAAGTGACGAAGGACCAAAAAGGAAAAGGTAGAATTTTGTGGATAAATGCGATTATATTTATCATCTAAATCCGGCGTAGCTTATCGAGTGTCGGTCACATAAGACCTCTGCAAATAATGGTCCGAATTTAGCAGGTCATTCTTCTCCCTCCAGCTCTCCAGCTAGTGGTTATCTTAAATTAGTCGGTTACACGCACGAATAATTAAATTCCATTAATCTCCTTACCTCCTGTTCTTAGTCGAAAACGTTCCGAAGCGTGCCTGGATGATATGCATGGATGAAATGATATGAGGAACGGGCCTCAATTTGCCGAAAAAATAATAATGACAATAGAGAAATGCATCACATCTCCTTTTTTGCATGAAGTCGGGTCCCGGAACCGAAACTTCTTTACACAAGGCGATCACCAAAGTTTAGTGAAGGAAAAAGGTAAATAGTGCCTTTAACACGCCAGACTAACTTTTTCCAAAAAGGAAGGAGAAATAGAAACAAGCACTTAACGGAATGATTTAAGAAAGTCCGTAACGTATAAATAGCCCAACTTAAATAGGCTAGTTTACCTTCTAGTCAGCCTACAAAATAACCAATTCGACGTCAAGGTACATCTGTTTTCACATTGCGTAAGAAACCACTAACTTTAACAGATATCGCATTTTATCCAGTTTTAATTATTATTTTTTTTTTTGGTCATATGTCACTCGTGGAAGACGAATGGCTTTGTTTTTAATAATGAGGCAACCATAGAGATAGATGCAGAAGATTGCTTGATAACATGTAACTCTACATGTGGATCATTGAAACGGAGTAAACGAGTTTGTGAAAATGTTCTCACGAATTTTAGGCGACACGCTCATTTTGCATTTGGTATCTTACCATTTTTTGCCTTTTCAACAACCTTTCACTAATTTACTGTATATACTATATATGCTCTCGAAATTGCAAAATTTAAAGAGGTTTTAAATAAGGAATAATTATACAGTATATACAGTACGTGCACTTGCATATTATATAAAAAAAAAAAAAAAAAAAAAAAAAAAAAAAAAAAAAAAAAAAAAAAAAAATTTTTTTTTAACCTATACTGTTTGTTGGCGTTAAAGCTATAATGATGAATTCATCAAGTATCTTTGTAAAAAAGCAAGATATATTATGACGTATATTTTTTTGAACCCGCAGTCAGGTTGACATGTCTTTATTGCATATATTTTACAAAATGATGTGACTTTTACATTGTTAATTCACCCTTCGTTGAAAAAACCATTTCTCTAGATGTAACTTAGGGAATGGTACTTCACTCATTTGCTGGTTTGAATTAATCATTAATCAGTAAAATTATTGCCTAAAGGTCATTATTGTAGATAAGATACATTATGATATTATCTGTATTTTATAATTAAATAGAATAATAAATAATGGATAATCAATTATTACAAAATTTTGATCAAACATTTATTTACAGTATTATTGAATGTTCATTCTTAATTTATAAAGTATCAATAGCTAAATAAAAAGATATACTTAATAAAAAATTTTTTTAAATGCTAGCTCATCCTTGTGCCATGGGGATGAGGGCTTTATTAAAGTAAAAAAAATTATCTAGAGACAACTGGGATTGCCTATATTGTTTAAGGATTTACAAATTAACAAATAGTATAAAGAGCAAACTATTTATATTTCACCCTACTAAAATAAAATAATTACATAATCATCTAGTATAGATATTCCACTTACAAGAATAAAACTTCAAAATAATAAGAAGGTGCAAAAATTCACATCATATTAATTTTTTTTACTATATTTACTATTGCACTTCAAAACTCTTCAAAAAGATATTATTTCTTATGTTGATTTTTATTATTATTGAAGAAGAAAAGAAAAAAATAGGTTATTGTCTATTCAATATATATTAAATTAACTTTTATATTTTTCTGTATAGTTGATAACATCTTAAATTTTATGTCCTATATTCATTCTCACCCATAACAATATGATTTATTATAGATTTCAAGTTCTTTTAAATATCAAAAAAATACTTTCAAATATATAAGATAATTATTATGAACTTGTTCATATTTTTTTATTGATACAGATATTTTTTGTTAAATTACAATACAAAAAACTTTGTCTACTCAAAATTTAGTAACAAATTGAATTAGAAAAATTTCTTAAAAAAATCCAGAAATAAGTACTATTGAAATATAATAAATGATAGAAAAGTTAATTGATTATCTCTTATTATTTAAATTATTCTATGATGTTTCTTTATAATATAAAACAATAATATATCAATTATTTTTTTCAAAACTTTTTTGTTTTTGATAAAAAAAGTGTTACTTGATTTTTTCAAGTTACAAAAAGTCAAGTTTTTATTAAAAGTGAATTATAAATAAGATAGAAAGAAATAAGTACAACTTTTAAAAATAAACTTTATAATAATTTAAATAAAGTATAAAAATTTTATTAACAAAAAATATTAAACTTCTTGTAAACATCTTTTTTGTATATAATTAGAAGATCAATAAAAAAAGTGTTAATAAATAGTGAACAATATATTTAATAAATATTTATTAATTTGATTATTAAACAATTAATTCTATTTAACTAATTATAAATATTAAAATTTTAAATTTTATTTTTAAACAATTTAATATTTTACAATAAACTTTGATTGAAAAGTATTTTAATTTATATATTACAACATATAAATTATTATTTTTAATTATTTATTAAGTTATCTAATGCTAAAAAAAAAAACATAAAAAAAATAGATTGAAAAATAATTTTTTTTTTGTTAAAATATATAAATATATATTAAAAATATTTAAAAATATTAAAAAATATTATTCAATTTTTTTTAAAAACTTTTATTTAAAAATTTTATTGATAAAGATCTATTAATTAAATAAATTAATATATATATATATTTACTAATTTACTGATAATATACAAAAACAAAAAAAACTCTTTCCCGTAAACAATCAGATCCTTAAAAATTTCTTTTTTGGAAACCTTTAAGATGAAAGGTAGAGAAAAATGACAAGTCACAACAGAAGTCCCAGAGCTTCCAACAACCCCCACAATTACAGAGTGCACCTTAAGATACAACAAAAGAGCCGGCAAAAAACTGGATCTGGCTAAAACCCAACCATATACAAAGAAATCCATCACAATAGCAGCCAAGAAGCCTACACAACCAATGGCAACCACTATTCCTAACAATGACCATCAATCCAACAACAACACAACCAGCACTCCTACACAACAAGAAACAATGCTTCAAGAAAATCAACAACAAGAAATAGAACATTCACCTCAACAAAGCTAAGAATCAGAGGCATCAACCTCGTCATGGAGTAATATAGTAGAAACACAACTCAACACAACCAACGAACAAAGTAAGCAACAAGAAAAACATCACGGAAGAACCACTATCCAGAAACCACAAACAGCTTGAAACAATAGCCCAGATGAAGAGATGGAAACTCAAGAGGAAAACAACTCAAAACAAAAGTGGTTCACCATTTCCAAAGGCAAAAGTAGAGAAATAGACAACCCTCAAGACAAACCAAGATCTAAATCACCATTTGATAGAACAATCCAATATGGACAAGAACAATACAAGATTGGCATCCCAGCAAAACTAGTCAAAGGAAAAACCATACACCAAAAGCTAGAACATATCATTCTAGCTCTCAACTCCCCTGAAGGACTTCTTACAGTACGTAGCAAAGGGAAAAAAAAAGATATGCAAATCATTGCTATCTTTGCAGACCAAAATGCAGCAGAATATGCAACAACCATAGAGCTCCCAGAAATAGATAACAACAGGTTGACACATATGGAAACCGGCCACCAACAAATCAATAAAGGAAACTCCATAGTAGTATAGAACATCCCCTTGAACGCAAGACTCATTGAGGTCAAACAAGCCTTCGCTAAACATGGTCAAATCCAAGGTATCACTATGAAAACTCAAAACTTGTGGCAATGTATCACAATTACTTTTGAAGATCAAGAACCCAAACACAAACTAGTAAATGCAAGAAGTATCCTAATCAAAGGAGACTTAGTGAGAATCAATGACGTAGAATGAACACTCCAACAAATGAAACAAAGATATGAGATCGCTGCCAAACTAACGAACCTCCCTCCCAACACATCAGTATGGGATATCAAAAACATTCTCACACAATGCAAGAGACGCACATGCTACATCCCAAGGGTAGCAAACAAGGGTTACAAACCCAAAATATTCGCAGTTATCAGCTTTGAAACACAAGAAGACCTTTTAACAGTAGTATAAACACAATACCAACAAGGTAAAACAATTCTCTCATTCACCCCAATCTCAACAAAACTATGCGCAATATGTGACGCACCTTCTCACCTAGCCCAAAACTGCTCCATTAAGGAAAGGTGCCTTCAATTGGATATCTACAACAAAAACCAGGCAACTAAATTCGGAAACCTTTACAACAAATTCAAACCAGAAAAAACTTCATCAATCTGTAACATCAACAAATTAAAAACACCCAAAATATCAAAAGCAGGGACATATGTAACAGTAGTTTTCCGAACAACCAAACCTAAACAGGAAAACTTAACAATCCTCGAAGACATTGGTACTATACTCAGAGAAATTTAGTAACAATTGAATACTATCAAATATTAAGTGGCAGAATTGGATGAGCATATCATCAACCTGGAATATTATGATAAAGAATACTATGAATCAATGGATAGTGAACAAACACCAACATCACAAGACTCAATACCCATATCACAATTCAACAGCACACAATCCACATCTGAAGATAGCTTTGAAGACCTCAGAAACACACAAACACAACTCTTCTCCTCTATCGACAGGATGCAAGACAAAATGAACCAAATTTTCACCACAATGGATGCTTTAGCCCAGACCTCAACCAAGACTCCTGGCAATCAATAACTATGGGAAATATACACAGCAATCCCAATAATAACAATGAACAAGTGAATACAAACATAACACATAACCATCAAATCAACAACCTCAATAATCCTTCACTCAGAACACAACAACTCATAACAAATCTATCATGGTCAGACTCAGACTCCACAATAGATGAAAACATTGATACATCATTATCAATACCCCATGACAACCCCAAATCTCACAAGAAAAACTAACCATACCAACAAACAACACTACTATATCACATAAACAACACCCCGAACACACCCTTAACCATCAAATCACAGGACAAACCTGGAATATCTTCACAACAAATGTCAGAGGTCTTAAATCAAAC